CCCTGGAAAGCCCAGAGCAGCGGGGAGAGGCGTGTTTTTAAATCTCAATGTGAAAAAGAGAGTCAACGTGTGTATCTGATCTGCATATGCCAGGAAGCGCCCTAGAAGCTCGATAAAACAAAGTTAGCACCTTATGGAGAAGCAGGCTGTGGCCTTGAACCTATGGGATTCATTACTCCAAAGGGGCGAGATCAGCCCTAGCTGGTTTGGCTCAGTGGATAGAGTATCGGCCTGCGGACTGAGGGGTCCCGGGTTTGATTCCAGTCAAGGGCACATGCCCAGGTTTTGGGCTTGATCTCCAGTAGGGGGCGTGCAGGAGGCAGGTGATCAATGATTCTCTCTCATCATTGATGTTTCTATCTCTCTCTCTCCCTCTCCCTTCCTCACTGAAATCAGTAAAAATATATTTTTTAAAAACCACAAAGGGGCGAGATCAGTCAGGAAAATGAATAGCTTCAGAAAAGACACACAGCAGTGTGATAGGGACAGATTCATAAGAGCAGGATCTTAAGGAGAGAAGAGTTTAATGGGAGTGGAATGGGGCCAGAGGAAGTGGAATGTTGTTGTTAATCCTGACCCGCAGATATTTTTCCATTGATTTTTTGAGAGAGTGGAAGGAAGCGGAAGACTGAGAGAGAGAGAGAGAGAGAGAGAGAGAGAGAGAGAGAGAGAGAGAGAGAGAAACATCAATGTGAGAGAGACATATCAATTGGTTGCCTCCCGTCCACACCCCAACCAGGGCTGGGATCAAGCTTGCAACAGAGGTACGTGCCCTGGACTGGAATCGAACCTGAGACCCTTCAGTCCGAGGGCTGATGCTCTATCCACTGAGCCAAACCAGCAAGGCTTTTAAGCTACTTTTTAAAAGAAAAATCAAGTATTTGGAATCTTAAGAGAGTTCATGGACCCAGATATCTGCCTTCAGTTTATCTGCCTTCCAAGTTGGTAAGATACGCAGAAGAGTGAGAAGCAATTTCTCTTATAGCCCATACACCTCAATAAACCCGGTCTCACGCCCAAATACTTCCTCTATATTTTTCTGGGGGTTTTTTAATTGATTTTTTTTTTTAATTGTTTCCTTCCTTTGGTAGATGAAGGGGGAAGAATGAAAAGGTTTGCCGAAGGCAGGGTGTGGAATAGGAGACAGGAGGGAAAAGTCCAGGGATAAAGGAGATTCTGAGATAAAGCAGAAAACTGCAGGCTGAGGGGGGCCCCCAGCTCACTCCCAGCCCTGCCAGCTGCTCGGTGGGGGGTCAGGGGCCAGGCGGGGAGGGTGGGGCTGCAGGCTGTGGTGAGAAGGCAGGCTCAGGCGGCAGGTTCACCAGATGCTGACACTGCCAGGGAGTTCGGATGTTTGTTTGTTTGTTTGTTTGTTTGTTTGTTTGTTTGTTTGTTTGAAATATGGTTCTTAAGGGAAAGTCAGTGGCAAAGAGGGGGCTGTTAAGTATGCCAAGCTGGTTCAGTCATGAGGAGGGGGAAGAGAGAGAGGCAGGGGAAGGAGGGAGGGCGGGAGGGAAAAAGAGAGACATTTGGGTTTTTCACGGTGTGTGGTGGAGAGAGAATGACATTTGGGATTTTGAAGGGAGGATTTCAGGGTCCAGCCCCCTCCCTCTCGGGGTGGGCCAGCTCCCCTCCGGGCTTAGCCGCGCTGTGCCTATGAGAGAAAGCTGGCGCCCTGGGCCTGCTCATGCCCATCACTCACCCGGGAAGGAACCCACACTAAGGAGCTCGGAGCTGAAATAGGACTTTGAGTCAGGGCAGTGCTCGGCAAGCTCTTTGGGCCTCTGCGCGGCCCTGCCCAGCCCGCTGGCCTCTCAGACAGACCGTGTCAAGGGGGCTCTGCCAGCCCTGGCTCCCGGCATTGGGCACCTCGGGCAGGCAGCAGGGCTTGGAGCTGGGAGGGGAGACCGTGGAGCACCCCAGCCAGCCCACGGGATGCTGTTAGGAGAGAGAGCCCCTGTGCACAGCCCTGCCTCGGGCAAGAAGCAGGGACTGAGGGCGGGTGCCCGGTGTGAGACTCAATATTCAATGGCCTTGTTTTGCTTCTTTAAATTCCACAGCTCCACGGAGTGGCCCTGGGAAAAGTATGCTAGCACAGCTTTTGCCCACGAATCATATCAAAACAAACAACCACCCACCCACTCTTAGCTGGTAAACAGAATGGATTGGACACGCTGTCCCCATCAGCCCGGGCCCTGTGGAGTGACAGCCACCCTCCGGGGGCCCGCATGCCTTCTCCTGCTGCATCACTGGTGCGCTGTGAGCCAGGGCCCTTCGTGGAAAAGAGAGATGGAGGGAGGCCTAGCCCGGACCTCCAGCAACGTGCAGATCCTTGTCTCCAGATCCGGACGACTTGTCTATCGTTTGTTATAGCTGTTTTTATTATTATTATTACGCTCCTGCGCTGTTATATCTTTATTCTTTCTTCGGGTTTTCTGTGTATTTCTCAATTTTATACCTGGTGCTCAGCTGATATAGCGCCATTAAAAAGATAGAGGCGGGGGCGGGGGCGGGGGAGAGGGGGGAGGGGCCTACGGTGTGGTGCTGGACAATAGCTAGACGTGGGGGAGGGGTGATGACTTTGTAGTGTATACAGTTGTCGAATTCCAATGCTGTACACCTGAAATGTATATAATCACGTAATAAAAGTTAAAGGCAAGAGAAGCAACCAGGCCCCAAAAGTCACAAGCAAGAAAATAAAATTAAATATTCACGCCCTGGCTCAATGGTTGGAGCGCCGGCCCGCGCACTGAAAGGTCACTGGTTCGACTCCCAGTCAAGGCCACGTACCTGAGTTGCAGGTTGGATCCCCAGCTCAGTCCTGTGAGTGCAGGAGGCAACCAATCAATTCTCTTACAGATGCTTTTCTCTCTCTCCCTCCCTCCCTCTCTCTCTCTCTCTCTCTCTCTCTCTCTCTCTCTCTCTCTCTCCCTTTCTCCCTTCTCCCTCCCTATCTAAAAATCCGTGGGAAAACTAGCCTTGGGTGAGGATTAACATTAAATTTAATTAAACTAAATACTCAAAACACAAAAGGAGGGAAGGATTGTTCTGTTTCCTGGAGAGAAGCCTGCTGAGCCTCCAGGCTCCTGCCCTGCCCTGGCACCTGCCCCCCAGCAGTGAGTTGCTGAGCACGGTCTCCCTCCTTTCTTTTCTCTGGGAGGTACAGGGAGACCAGGGTGGTGCAGCACACAGGGTGGCCAGCTTCCCTCCCTGACCCAGGACAGCCGCCCAGGAGAGCCAGCAGTCAGGGGCCGGACAGGACTGCGAGAGCTTGCGGATCAAAGCTCCCCGCCTGGCCAGTGGCATCTGAACAAATAAACCTGGGAGGGGTGTAATAGGTTCCGTCTTGGCTCCTCCAGCCAAAAAAACACGAAAAAAACCTAGAAGGAAACTTTCCCCCCAGGGGACTGTTTGTCCCCCTTGGGTGAGGGCACTGCTTTTTCCAGGATCCTCTTGTAAAATAGCAATGGATCAGGGAGGTGGGGGCTGAGCCGAGGCCGGGACTGGGGGGTGGACACCACGTTGCTCCCATTCATTTCCTTTTAGAAAGTTGCTTCAGCCACCCCGACGAGAGAGAGAGTTTCCTCCATGGGTGGGAGCAGGCTGGCGGGGGTGGGGGTTGCTAGGGACAATGGGGCACTAGGCCTGTGGAAAGAGGTTGGGTCCATCCGCCCACTTTGCTTTGCCCAAGGCTGTTCATTTCCCAACAGGCACCAGAAAATCCGAGATAAACCCCAATTTGAGCCGCTAATCCAGCATCAGCTGACTCCCGCCCAGGTGCTCAACTTCAGCTCCATTTCACCAGCTGTGGCTGCCCCTTGGCAGATCCCTCTGCTGAGCCCCTGCTCCTGCTCCCTCGGCAAGCTGGTTGGGGGCCCTCAGTCTGGTTGGCATCCCTGGCAGACAATAGATGCCTTTCCTGAGATCTCCCAAGTAGCGTCTTCCGTGCAAGAGGCTCTGTGTAAGACTGAGACCTGCTGTCAACTCAAAGGCACAGGAATAAAAAATAAAAATAAATTAAAAAAACAAGGTTCACCGCCTGCCTCAGGTACTCCCATGAGCTCTGTGTGCAAAGTCAGAGCTGCTCAGTCAGGCCTGCTGTTCCGGTCCAGGCCCAGCCCCTCCAGCGAGGCGAGGACAGACCAGCTCTGAGCTCCCTGCAGATGCGGTCCTGCCAACCTTTAGCTCAACCACAGAGGAGGCCCAAGTGGTGGGTTCGCTCCTGTCCGTGCCAGTCAGATGCCCTGTGCCAGGCTTTAACCCCAGGCAGCAGCCTCCAAACCGGAAGCAACCGGGCACAGGGTAGAGACACAGCATCCCCTACTAACGGAAACCCTCACAAGCTGAAAAACGTAGGATCAGGGAGCAAGTGCCGTCGTCATGTTTCATAAAAATCATCTTTGTTAAAAAACCAATATACTGTCCAACCCATACTGAGCTGGCTTTGTGAACTCGCCTAATATTCTCATGCCTCGTCTCACACTTTCTGCCCCTGACAAAATTCTCCCAACTCCTCAGAGAAGCCATCCCCGGCAAATCCTCCCAACTCCTCAGAGAAGCCATCCCCAGCGGAGTGGCTTCCTCCCCGGACCCCACAGAATTCATGGCTCCTGCTGCAGCACTTTCTGCACTGCTCCCCGTGACCTGTGCTGACCTGTGCGTGCTGCCCTCCCACCAAATGGGAGAAGGCTGGGTTTTACTGCTCCTCCTAGGCAAGTCACCTAGCCCAGGGCCAGGCACATAACGCTGCATATATTTATTAATATGCATGTCTACTTCCAGATGGCGGGGATCTGAAATGCCCAGCTTTGTCCTGTAAAAAAGCCTCTGAATAACCTGAGACAGGAGTGTCCACACCCAGGCATGCAGTTTGCCCATCCAGGTCCCCCTCCCTGCGCCCTAGCCTCCTGCAGCCAGAGCCACCCCCATGGCTGCCCGTGGGCGCCCTCTAGTGGCACTTGTGGGCAATGACAACACAAAGACACCAGGAGATTGGGGGGGGGGAGCTGTTTATTAGGTGGTTATTACAGGGGTCAGACCACGTAAGTGGTGTCAGCCCCGGGAATGTGACCTCTCAGTGTGGATCAAAAGCCCCCAAGGCTGGTCCCGGTGAGCCCCAAGGTCAGAAATGGAACTGAAAGGCCTCCGTCACGTGCTGCTTCCAGGCGTCCAGGCTGGGCAGCAGGGAGGAGATGCCCATGACGTGCCAGGTCTCCCCGTCGGACACCACCGAGGTCTGGTAGGACAGCAGCTGCACGCCTGCCTCCGCCAGGAGCCCTGGGAAGAAGAAGCCCTTGGTTGGCCCGGAGTATGGGAAAGGAGACGCGAGGGGCCGGGAGTCTTGGGCTGCTGCAATGGAGGTTGATGGCATCTGGATCGGAGAGCTGAGAGGGGGAACACTCGCTCAGCTTTATTCCAGAGAGCACCGCGAGGCAGGGAGTGAGCCACTGAGCTAGAGCAATTGCCTGACTGGCTGGCTGCCAGCTTCATCAGAACAACAGCGAGAGAACAAAGCAGGCCCGTTCTTCGGCGCAGCTGGCAGGGATGGGGAAATTGGCCCTGTCGAGAACTCACTCGCTCTCTGCCAGGAAGTGCTCCAAAACTCCCCATGGCCCAGGCGCCAGGGGACTGGGCAGCTCAAGGTGGCACAGACTGTCAAATCTCAGAGGGAAGATGGGGGAGGGAGGGAAGAGATCAACCAAAGACAGGACAACCCCTCCCGCAACCAGCCCGTCCCACAGGCCCCCTCCTCACCAATCATGGTAGGCAGCATGGCAGGGTTGGAGGGCTGAGCCCGGAACAGGAGCAGGGGCAGACCCCTGCGGAGAGGCACTTCTGGTCTGAAGGCAGCCCCGTTGAGTGCCTGCAGCACAGGTGTGGTGCCCTGGACAAAGCCCACAGCCTCGTAGGGGGCACCTGCCAGGGCCACGCTCAGGAGGCCTTCCCCGCATCCTTGCTCTCCTGGCACAGCGGGGTTATGGGAGGAAGTTACCTGCAGAGAGAAGGCAGGGGCGCGGTTACGCCTCCTGGCGGCATCATGCCCACCCTCTCCCTCAGCCCCATGGCCGATTGGTAGGGCTTCAGCCTGGCCCACTGGGTCAGCCATTCAGAGCAGAGGGAGGAGTCAGTGGCCCCCACAGGGAAGGACAGATCTGCCTGGTACAGGTAACAGCTTGGAGCGGGGTGGGAATGAGGGAGGAGGAAGGGAGGCGGGTCTGTGAGGACCTGGGTGAGCAGGTCTGCCTGTGGGCTGACCCAGCCTGGCGCCTCTTGCTCACTGCATCCTGCACAGAACCAGAGGCCTCATTGGGATGTAGGTGTGCAGAGGGGGCAGGAGGGGGACTGTGGGAGCCCTGCTTCCCATGGCTGCTGCCAGCTCCCACTGGCTAAGAAACACAAGCTTTGATCTACAAAGGGAACCAGAGGGAAAGACGCCAAAGAAAAGCCACGAGGGCAGCAGAGGCGAAGAGGATGTGTTGCCAGCTCCCAAGGAGTGTGCAAGCTCAGCAAGGAACCGGGCTCGATGGTGAATGCAGCCCTGGCTGGAGCCAGAGGCTGAGCAAGCGAGGCTGCTTCCCAGCCTCCCAGCCCCCCAGCCAGACGCAAACTGGCTCCTCAGTGTTCCCGGCTGAGAAATGGGGGTGCTGGCACCGACGTGCACACACACAGCACTTTCCCGCACAGCAACGCTCGGAGGCAGGCGGAAGCCCCGCTTTGCAGATGCAGACGTCACCTGCGCCACCTCTCACAGGCAGACCGTCCGTGGCAGGACCGCCCCCAGGGCTCCCACTCACTGAGCAGGGCTGGGGGCGTGCTCCGAACACGCAGGGGGAGAAGGGCTGTGCCCACGGGGTAAGGAGGGGAGGGCGGGCGGGCACCCACATTGAGGCCGGCCTCCTTCACCAGCAGCTTGGCGTTCACCAAGTTCACGTCCGCGTGGTTGGAAGCGTCTCTGAGGAGGCCGACGATGACTGCGGGGCTCAGGCAGTTCCCGGCATTCTTCAGGGACAGGCCTGGGGACGGAAAAGAAGCCACCATCAGGTCAGTTTGTGGAGCAACACAGGGGGTGCAGGAGACCCCAGCACCCACTTTGGGTCACAGCTCCTCACACCCTGGGGACCCCAATTCCAGCCTGCCTGGGCAGTCCTGCTTCCCCTGGGGAGCCGTCACACGGTGGGTCAGCAGACCTGCCCAGAGGCTGGCTCAGCCTGGTCCTGTCCAGGTCTGGACCCCAAGGGCACTCTCATCCAGTCGAAAGAACTCATCTCCAAAACTCAGCCCAAATCCACACCTGCCATGGCCTGGCCGCCCTGGCCTGCCTGTCGTTCTGGCACTCACTCCCTTGCTGGCCTCAGCAAGTGGAAGAAAGGGGTAACTGAAGGAATTGTGGCCCAGTTCCCCCTGCCTTGTGGCCTGGGCACCCAAGCCAGTGGGGATCCCCTGGCTCGGGCCTGGCCCAGGACGGACAATGCTTAGGGTGTACCTGCCCCCCCCAACCTCTCCCCAAGAGTCAACAGTCAATGGGGAGGGTCGTCTGGGCTGTGCTAGAGCCTCTGGTCTCTCCAGCACCTCTGCAGCCGGCTGGAGCCTGCACAGTCACCGAGGGGCCAACAGAGGGCGCTGTTCTGTTCCCACATCACGGCTGAGCAAATGCCCCCAAGGCCCCCAGCTAGTCCCAGGGCCCATCTTAGGCTGTCAGAGCACAGACTGTCCCCACACCGCGTCTGGCACACCCATCCTGACTCACACATCACACATGAAGAACACGGCTCGGAGACCGGAATGCCACCCAGCAGGTAAGTGACGGGGTCAAAACCAGAATCAAACTCCAGGTCACTTAACCAGGACTCCGGCCGCCAATCCTACCGCCTCTCATGGGAAACTCTGTCTCCTGTGGAGGTTTCTCTTGCACCCCAAACACGCACTTCCTTAAGCTACTGCACAAACATGCACATCTTTAAAATAACATGCAAACATGACTGTGAAGATTACGCATATTTCCCAATGACTTTTTGTCCCTCCTCTTCTGTCTCCACTCAGTAGCAAGTGAGCCAATACTCAGAACATGGAACATGGGGTCCCAAGACCAGGGTCACCTCCGAGTCCCTGTCTGACCTGCAGCAGACACACCTAGTGGGGTGCAGGGTCCACACCCCGCTTCCCCATCCCTCTGCAGTGTTCCCCGCTCACCCTGCGTTACCACCTGGATGGTCCCTTTGGGGGACCCCGCCCAGGCTCGCATCAGAGTCCCCAGAGCTTCGGCCAGACCGAGCCAAGGTTTGGTGTGCGGAGAGAAGGCGCTGGTAAGGGCCTGGGCATTCACCTGCAGGGAGACAGGGAGGGGGCTGAGGTTAGGAAGAGGTGGGAGCAGAGTTGAACAGCTGGGTGGCTGGGAGCCTGTGGCAGGCGGAGGATGTGTGCCACTAAGAGGGACCCTCACCCTCAGGGGCTTTCTCCATCGCCCCACCCCATGGGAGTCCAGCCCTCAGCCCAGCCCTCAGCCCAGCCTCACCCCTGCATCCACAGGCCTGCAGAGAACAAAGGAGCCTTTCCCAGACGCTGGGCCCTGGGGAGAACCTCAATCTCCACACAAGGCTACACGTCAGGGCGGAGCTGGGCTCCCTGCTGCCAGGCCTGGGCATCCAGGCGAGGGGCAGGCCAGCTCCTGCCACCGTCCCCATCCCCACCCCACCAACCCCTGGAGGCCGACTCAAGTGGAATCTTATCTCGGCTCCCAGAGCAGAATCTGGCCACCACACCACGCTGTCCCCGCTGTCCCCATTCCCATCGCCAAGACTCCTGCTCCTCCCTCTAACCTCCGGGCCCCACCCCACCGGGGATACTTACAACCCCGGCGAGGGCTCTCCCCTTCACCATGTCCACGAACTGGACAGCGATCTCCTCCCCGCAGCGGCTCTGGGCCTCCTTGGTGCTGGCGCCCAGGTGGGGGCAGCTGATGACGTTCTCGTGGTCCACCAAGGCGCGGTCCCGCGGTGGCTCCTGCCCAGAGAGGGACAGGGAAGTTGCAGGAGGGAAGGCACCTCCTACTCTTATTTCATCAGCGTGGTCACTGGATTCAGTGACCGGCTTCCTCATGGATGTCCCACCGCAGCAAAGTAGTGGTCAGAGCTGTGGACCACATTCAAATGTGCCTCTGGGCAAATCTCCATCTTCCCGAGCCTCAGTTTCCCTCCCTGAGAAATGGGTGAGCACTGCCTACCCCATACCATGGTGGTGGAGATTACACACCCGTAATGCAAGAGGCTCTCAGCCGCGGTACCTCCTGTGGTTGCTGCTCTTCCCTGAACGCCCCGCCCCCTGCGCTCACTGTCATGCTGTTTGAGACACTGAGGGTGGCCCCTGGGCGCCTCCTCCCCACACTCCAGGGTCCCGCACCCCTTCTGCTCGCTGAGCAGTGCCCTTGGGAACGGGGCGTAGGCTCTTCTCTGCTGGGCACTGTCCCCAGGGCTCTGTGGGCTCCCACATGACCCGGGCCCAGGCTGTGGCAGTCAGTGCTCAGAGGGCCAGGGGACGGCGCTGTGCTGGGGGACGGCAACCCTCAGGGACCTTACCATCTAGTCCAGAAAGGTCACCAGAAACAGACCCAGTGCACCGTGCACCCTGGGCAGGGAGTGGACAGCGAGTGCTATGGGGGCTCAGAGAGGGCGGCGACTCGCCAAGGCCACACAGTTCATACATGCCCAGCACCCGCCCCCTGCCTTGGCCAAGGTCCCTGCGCTCTCCCCTGGACTCCTGGTGTTTAGGCGGCGACGGGGTTCAAGGGGAAATGCACCCTTCTCAGCTGGGTCTGGCGCGTGGGGGATGGGGGATGGGGGAGAGGGACGGGGAGCTTCTAACCTGTCCAGGGGCTCTGGGAGGACTTGGCGGGATTCGCTTCATCATTCCCGCATCAATGCATGAAGCCTCTCTCCCTGCCCCAGGCCGGGCCGGCAGAACCATGTGCTGCTGCTGCCTTCGCGGCCCAGACCAGGAACTTAACGCTCGGGTTTAGCAGGAGCCCGCGTGGCTGCCTCCGCACAGGGAGGCCTCTTCAAACCACACAACACGGGACCGTTTCCCCCCTTTACCGGGGACAGAGACGGGCTTGAGGGCCTCCTGCCCCCAGCCCCGCCCCCCACCACCAGCCCCACCACTTGCCTCCCCTCCCGCCCACGCGGGCACTCACCTCCGTGAACACGTCCAGCGCTGCGCCCGCGCACTGCCCCGACTGCAGGGCCCGGAGCAGGGCGCCCTCGTCCACGATCCCTCCGCGGGCGCAGTTCACCACGCGCACGCCCTTCTTGCACAGGGCGAAGGTGCTGTCGTTCAGCAGGCCTGGAGGGAGGGAGGGAGGACGATGCCACAATGGTGACAGGGTCCCACGGGCTTGGCTGCAGCTCGGACCCCCTTCCCCGCCCAGCTCCTCCCCACAGGCCTCCTTCCTGCAGGACAACACTCTCTGGTCTCCCCTCCCCTCTGATGCGCTGGGCCAGACTCAGTTTAGAAACCTCCTAGAAGTCCCTGACATATGCCTACAGTGGCCCAGGCACTGTCCAGGGGCACTGGTCATACATGTTGCCCCAGCTCACCCCCAAAACCCCAAAACTCCCTGCAGGCTCACCCCTCCCCTCTAATGCAGGGCAGCTCACAAAGCATCCCATGCTGGTGCTGGCAGAGCTGATCTCTCACACACACACACACACACACACACACACACACACACACGCAGTGTCTGTGGAAGCCCTACACGGGGCCCACCCTTATCTGGTCTGTGGCTTCTGTGGCCACCACCAGGTAGGGACCCACCCACCTGTCGTGGAGGGCAGGAGAGGGGTGTGCACAGTGATGAAGTCACAGAGGGGCCAGATCTCCTCCAGGGGCAGCTGCTGAACGCCGAAGGAGGCCGAGACCTCTGGTGAGATGATGGGGTCGTACCCTACAGTCTGGTCATGAGAGAGAGAGTGTGTGTGTTTAGTATTAGTATTTGTATTATGAACAATGGCAACCAGGGAACATTTACATACACCAAGCTACGCTAAGCCTTCTGCAGACACCAGTGCGCTGAGCAGTAGGGGCTTACACACCAGGAAGGGCCAGGACCAGAGCTGAAAGGCAGGTGTGTCTGCGTGCACGCTCTGAACCACAAATGTAGGAGCAGCTCGTGTGTACGGGCACCGTGGAGCATGGGAGCCCTTGGGCAGCAGGGAGCCCAGGGGAGGGAGGACGGTCACTCGGGGATCAGTGTGGGGCACAACCAGGAAGGGAGGACCACAGGGCCAGACAACAGCAGGGCACTGGCTGCTTGAGCAGAACGAGTGCGGGGGAAGGGAGGGAGGGGCGGCTCATCATCGGGGAAGGGGGTGAAGTACCCGTGCTGACAACTACGGGGAAGGGATGGTCCCCTCTCCTGGAGTTACTCTTAGGGGTTTAAGATGCACCTGGTCTTGGAAGGCAGACCATGTGACTAGTCCCAGGGGGTAGAAATGACTAGCGACAGATGCTTTCAACAAGGCAGGGCTGCCGGGGGTGGAGAGCAATGACAACAGAGGAGGAAAGTGAGACATCAGGGCACCACGTGGGGGAGGGCCCAGAAAGAACCTGGGTCTGGGGAGGAGGTGGACCCCCCTGAGGCTGCTGAGAAGGAAGAAGGTTGACTACTGGGAGACGGGGGCAGGCAGGGAACTTGGGGTGTCCGCTGCACTAACCGCATCACATTGGCCAAAGGTCATCGCATATCAGTGAAGGGACTGAGACAGGCCAGTAAGCCAGGGCAGGTGGAGAGGGAAGCCGAGACAGCCCGCGGAGCAAACTGGCTGAGCAACTTGCAGCCATTTATAGTCGGTCACCTCCCTGGAGATAACATCTAGGCTTCAGGTGTATTTCAGCTCCTGGCTTAGAAAAGCAGCAAAACCAGGTGGGCGGGCGATGCCAGGACCAGCTGTAATGACTAACCACCCCCCACCCTGGCACTGACCAGTCAATAGAGAGCAGGACCACCCGAGAAATCAGGGGAGAGGGAGAGGCAAGCATCTCTCCTCCATCAGAAGCAGCTGGGCTGCCAGACACCCATCCCTGAGCAAGGTTACAAGCCAGCTGAGCAGCTGGGAGGCACCTGCAACCAGGTGCAAAGCAAATGACAGAAACATAGTTATTTTAGAAAATAAAATGGCAAAGAAGATGGCTGTACCAAGCCCAGCGCTCCTGGAGAAGCAACGGAAAGTGGTTATGGATGAGGTGCAGTGTTTGGATCCCACTTTTCATCACCGTGTGGAGGAAGGAGAGCCACGCGGCCCCACCCCAACCGCGGTGGAGGCTTTGGGGAAGGAGGCGGCCTCGCGGTGCCTTATGGGATCGCCAGCTGGTGGCACCCAGGCCCACATGGCCCGGCCCTCAGAGAAAATCTATTTTTCTCTCGTGGGGAGAATAAAATGCCCAGGGGGGGGGGGGGAGGATTCTGGGCTCATTCTCACAGTCTTCTCACAAGTCTGCTTTGTCCAGCTGCCTGCGGAACAATGGCCCCTTCATCTCTAACCCAGATGCACTTTGGCATGTGTAGTGGGGAGAGGAGAGGTCACAGGCCAAGCCTGACAAGCGGGTTCACACAACTCTAGGACCCTGGGCTCTCAGAAGTCAAGAAAAGGGGCAAGCTGGGGCAAGCTGGCCACGTGCCCCTGCCTGCACCCCCAGGCCCTGACTCAGCTTTCTGTCACAGAGACAGTATCTCACTCATCCGCAGGGAAAGAATTTGAAAGAAAACCCGTTCTTGTTTTTTGTGGTTTTGTTTTTTTTAACTGGAGTCATCCGGGGCAGAAAGGTACTGAGCTAAGACCTGGGGTCCTTGCACCAGGAGACCATGTAGGGGGTGGGGGCTAGAAGGGTGACATCGGCCAGCCGAGGACCAATGCCTCAGTAGGGTCCTGAAAAGGTCAGTAGGTCCCTGGAAAAGGTCAGATGTCCAATGTGCAAACGTTGGGGCAATTTCAGAAAAACACTACCTGAAGTCTATTGCTCGAAGGAGCCTTGGGGAGAGGCATAAAGGACTCCCCACCTCAATCCCAGCCCCAAGACAGACTCCTGATGTCGGGGTAACTCCAAGGCGACCTCTAGCAGGTGCCACAGACGCAGCCTTGGGAGGCTGGTCCCACCTGCTCCAGGCCCCCTGGCTCAGCAGGGGGCGCAGGAGAGCTGGGCAAGGCCCGGTTCCCTAGATGGAGGCTGCAATGGAGTCTGACAGCCATGCCCACCCTCCAGCCACGCCCACTCGACCCTGTAGCCACTTGGCTTAGCCTTGACACTCTCCCCCACACACAAAGAAATCTTAAACACAATATAAAACCAAATCAATTCAAAGCTACAGAGGTGAGGGCCCAATGCCACCTCCCCCCACCCCCACCCCCACCCTTCCACTGTCCCTCGGGCCCCTTTCCAGAGCCTGAAGCTCTGGGAAGAATTTGAAAATCACTGCTCTTGGGGCCATAGGAATTCCAACTACAGACCGAGATAAGAGAGCTTTTGATCTAGAAAGAACCCAGGGAAGGGCCTGTTTAACCGACAGGGGTCAGGACAGGGGTCAGGAGTGGAGACAGCCGGGGTGGTACAGGGCAAAGAGCACAGATTAGCAGTCAGGAGGCCCAGAGTCTGAGCCGGCCTCGACCACTCACTGGCCCTGTTTTCTTGAGCGTATCACATAACCTTCCCGGGCCTCAGTTTCCTTATCTGCAACTGGGATAATAATATTGACTCCGCAGGGCCAGGGAGCACAGCGTCCGACACAGCCGACCTCAGTGCACGTGAGCCAGACCAGAAAGCATCAGTGGCAACTGGTGCCTCCAGTCCAATGTCCATCCCTCTGGGCTAAGTCAAACTCATTCACACCAGCCACCGAGAAACTTGTGAGATGCTGCTGGTCTGCTCCTCACACAAAACCTTGATAAGAAAGTGCAAGGCTCAGCTCCTGGCCCACGCAGGTCTTTTACACATTCTAGACCAGAGGACATGCCAGCGTGCACGCGTTGAGTCTCCGAAGTGATTACCTGTGATTTAGCAACACTCCTGGGAAAAAGCTTCAAGCAGAAAATGCTATGGGGAGACCCAAATGATTCAGACCATCAGCAGGCTGCCAGCTTCGAGAATTACCGGGAAACCCGCATGTGTGCCACGCGGCTCAGAGCAAGTCAACAGCAGCTCTATGGTGGCTGCTCAGGGCTCCTTCTAGACCTGTGCCTGTGTGAGTGTCAGTATAGGTGGGCAACAACCACAACCTCCCTCCCCAACCACAACACACGCACTCCAGGTGGTCCTGGGAAGACACCTGGCTAAGCTCCCATCGGAGGTGAGGTACTCCCTTTCCCCGAGTGACCAGATAGTCACAAAGAAAGGGAAGGGGACCTTCCATCCCCAGCCTCTGAGTGCAGGACAGCCTCTCCCTACAACTCCTGTGATATGAAGGGGTCAGCTCTTAGATCACCATACCCCAGGAGGGGCCAGCTGCTAGGCATTCATTAACAGCCTCCTGAGTGAGACCAGCCTGGGTGAGATTAGGACACAGGTTAGCCCAGGCGCCAGGGAGAGAAAGGGATGATAACCAATAACCTGTCCATGCTTTGCAGTTCCGACCGGGCCAGCCCAACCAGACGTCCCAAAGTGTCCCCTATGCCTCTGGTCCACTCTATGTCTTCAGTTACAATGTTCTCCCAAGTTACATCACTTCCCAGGACAGCAGTGATGTCGATGGCCCGGGTGGATGACATCGAGGGGCTTCCGGGATCTCCCAGTCTCATGTTGGTTTCCAAAGACTGGGGCCGAGGTCTCGCAGGTCGAGGCAAAGCCAAGGACAACGAGTGGGTCCCGTCATCAAGCTGGGCCGCCTGGTCACGGAAGGGAAGATGGAGTCCCTGAAGGAGATCTACCTCCTCCCCCTGACCATCAAGGAACCTGAGCCCATTGGCTTTTTCCTGGGGGCATCCCTCAAGGATTACATCCTTGCAAAAACAGACACACATTGGGCAGAAGCCTGGCCAAAGGACCTGGTTCAAGGAAGTGGTCGCCACTGGACTACAATGGACATGTTTCAGGGGTTACAAGCAGCATGTCTCAGAAGCAAGACAGCCCGGAGTGACCCTCCAGAGACACCCACACCTTCAACGCCATGCTGGGTGTAGCACATCTAGGTGTATCACGCAGGCTGGGCCCGGAAACACAGATTAACATTGATGAGCAGGTTCTAGACACATGTCTGCGGGGTGTCAGTCACTTCCCCTGCGGACACTCAAGGTCCTGCATCTCCCTGGGTCCTCCAAAAGCAGCTCCCGCAGGAGTGGAGTAGCCGAGTGTCGCCAGAGACCGGACAGGCTGGCTGATCGCATCCATTATTCAGGAAATGAGGTGAAGCTTTTTGTCTGAGTTAAGTCACTGCCAAAGTCTCAAGTCCTTGACAACACATGCCCCTGAGTTGGAAGAATCCGACGCGCTATGGCTCCGTGGATGGGAGTGAAAGGAGCAGAAGGGCCGTGGGGCCTGGACCCTGCCCCGAAGTTACTGCGCCATCAATGAAACCAGCCTTTACCTGTATGGCCATGGGTGCTCTGAGCTTACCTGTCCCTGTCCCTGTTAGGTGACTGGGAATCCCTGTGAGCTAAACCTTGATCCCTCAAGAGGCAGGAGGAGAAAGTGCTCTCCGTGGCTGATGGCACTTCGCCTCCCTTACCCAGAAGGACGTGGGGTTGGTTGGTGCTCATGGTCCATGGATCCTGCCAGGCCACACTCACTGCTCTTGGAATCTAGAAAAATGTTCCTGCCCTTCCCCGTGCTAGGCTTCGGGAAGATGTCTGGATGACTTAAATATGGTGGGGAAGTAGAGGCAGGAGGCAGAGGCAGATGCTCACGGTGGTAGAATGGGATGCCCACCTGGGTTCTTGTCTATCATCCATTCGCTGTGAGCCCTCAGCAAAAATTAACAAACTCTGGAGGCCAATATAAACGTAAGGGTTCATCAGTAAGTTCCCTATAGCTCTATGAAAGTGGGAGGGACAGACAGGGGGAGGGAGCCAGGGAGAAATGGAGACTTCTGGAACAGGGCCATGTAAATTTTTCAAGACCTGAAATGATCTGATTTTCAAAGCCTTTTCCCTTAATGTTTAACTGAAGCCTCCCTGGCTGCAATGTGAACCCACCACCCCCTCAGCCACTGGAGACAGGGAGGCGGCCCCAGCCCTCCCAGGTGCCTGTCACTCTGGCCTATCTGGGCGCCCTCTCTGGTCTGAGTGGCCTCCCCCTGTGCAACGTCCCCAGGTGTTTGATGATAACCCCCCCTCAACCGGAAGCCTCCCAGCATAAGATAAGGCAGGGCCCTGGGGGCAGGCAGGATTTCAGAGAAATGTATGGGGTCTCCAGGCACCATCAGCTCTAGGATCCTATCAGCTTACAGACAAGCACTGTTCAGTTTCTGCTGAACCCTGGAGAGGAGCTAGAACAGGGGTCCTCAAACTACGGCCCGCGGGCCACATGTAAATACAAATATTGTATTTGTTCCCATTTTGTTTTTTTACTTCAAAATAAGATGTGCAGTGTGCATAGGAATTTGTTCATAGTTTTTTTTTTTTAACTATACTCCGGCCCTCCAGTGGTCTGAGGGACAGTGAACTGGCCCCCTGTTTAACAAGTTTGAGGACCCCTGAGCTAGAAGATGGATGGACAATTGCTCTGTCGTAAGGGTGTAAGTTTGCTCATGTTTCCTGAATCAGCACAGGCGACAGACACAGCAAATGAGGCCTCACAGCAGGGGAGGGTAGGTCGGCAGGAAACGGGACCCCTCTCCGCTGGGACTCAGGGCTATTATCCACCCCAGGGCTGAAGGACCTCCACCGAGCAGCCCCAGGTTCTGAGTTCAAGAGTGCACACCAGCAGGTAATGCTCCCTTCCTCGCTGGATGTACCGCCTGGTTAAGCCAGGGGCTCTAAAAGGGAGGGGTGGGGGGTATCAGACCCTCCTAGGACAGGGCCTTCAGCTTCTCGCACACAAAGCTGCCTCTTCCAAACTTCCTACAGGAAGCCTGCCGACCCCTTACCTTCATCCCGAAGGACTGCATCCGGACGGCCACCTCTCTCCCGATCCTCCCCAGGCCAAGAATTCCCAGGGTCTTCCCATTCAACTCGGTGCCCATGAACTGCAACCAAACAGGCAAAGAAGCTGAAGTCAGCACCAGGAGTGAGCTTCAGGCACTGAGCCAGGTGTGGGGAGGCAAGGCCGGCTGCTCACCTTCTTTCGGTCCCATTTGCCATTCTTCATCGAAGCCGTCGCCTGGGGAATCTGCCTGCAAGGACAGACACAGGGTGAGCCGGCCCACGCAGACCCGCGCCAGCTCAAGGAGGCATGCGAGGATGCCTGCAAGCCACCTCCACCTGGCGTGAACCGAGCTGGGCCTGGGTCTGGGGGCTCAGGCTCAGAAACAGGAGGGTCAAGGCTGTGCAGCAGAGGGGAACCCTTGGGAAGATTTGACTTGGGACCTGGCCAGTTTGGCTCAGTGGATAGAGTGTTGGCCCTCGGACTGAAGGGTCCCAGGTTTGATTCCGACCAAGGGCATGTACCTGGGTTGCAGGCCCTGGTGGGGGAAACAATCAGGAAGCAACCAGTCGATGTGTCTCTCTCACATCAATGTTTCTCTCTGTCTCTCTCCCTCCCTTCTACTCTCTCTAAAAATCAACGGAAAAATATCCTCAGATGAGGATGAACAAAACAAACAACAAAAAACAAAACAATAAGGAAGCGAACAAACTCATTAAAAAAGGCGGGGGGGGGGGGGGGGGGCAGAATGACTTGGAGTCCTAACTTCTGTTTCTAGCGAGGAGTCTGGGAAGAGGTTCTGATTCCACGTCAGCCCCCAGGGATATCAGAGTGACTCTGGGCACTAAAACGCAAGTCAGTCCTCCAGGGTTTGCAGGAATAAGAGAGGCTCTGATGGCATTAAAAGCTCCAGAAATTCAAGAATTTTCATTTTCCTATTCCACCCAGGGCCACAACCTACAACATCTTCCACTATATCAGGGGACAGCTGATTATTTTTTCGTCCTTGGGAGTTTAAGCCCCAAGGGTCTCAGGCTAGATTTGGGTGGCTGGGTGCCACAGTCCACACACATCTAACTTCTCCACCTCCTGTCCCACCACCTCAGGCCGGCACACACGCACGCCACACCCCACGCAGCCTCTCTGCTCCTATTGGCCAACATGGAAGTCTAGTCTCCTTGTGTTTTCTGGAGGAGACAAAGGAAGCTAGGGCAAAGTTAGAGGTCACATGGGGCAGATATGTCCTGTGGGACAAGGCCATCCAGGCTTCTCTGGTAGCAAAAAAGTAAGAGACAAGAAACAATGTTAGAATGTTTAAGGCGTATCTCCTGTTTTAGACACTCTTATAGGAAATGTTTAGACACCGATTCGCTCAGTGAATGCTCACGAATGCAAAGTGTGGGGCTCTGGGGGTTAACACCCCACCCAGCTCTGCCCACCTGGGAGCAGCTGAACGGATTCAAATCCCAGGAAGGCCTCCCACCAGGCAGCCTCCTAAGAGTGAAATGCAGGCTTTTCTGCTGGTCAGGAGACGTGCAATGGTCTGTGGGTGGGTGGGTGCACAGAAAGAGATTCCAAAATATTGTTCCTGTGTTTCTACTTCACTGACTTCTTATTTAAAAAAAGTTCTTTCCTGTCTGCCCATTATGGACTTCTACCTGCTGGTAAGGCTGTCCTCCACTGGGAGGCCCGGGGACTTGTGGGTAAACTCAGCCAAGCTTAAGGAACTCGCTTCAGGGGAAAAGCTCCATCTCCCTGCTCCGGCCCATCACACTATAGCGCCGGGTTCAGGAAAGCAATAAGGGAAAGTGCTCTCGGTCTCAGCACTTGGTGAGACGGAGCCCCCAACCCTCACTCCCCTCCCTGCCTCTTCTCAGCTCCCTCGCCTCCTGAGCTCTGCCCACCCCACTCCGCGGCGCTGAGATGTAGGTGCCAAGATGTATGGGATGGCACCTCGGGCACAAGAAATCCCAGACCCTCCCTCTCGCTGCTGTACCCAGCTGGTCAGCCTCCCAGGTTCCGTCCTCACCAGGCCGGTCTCGGGGGACCAAGATGTGGGCGAGGGGGCTCAAGAGGGGTCTGACTCACAAGAGAAGGTAAAGCGGGCAAGATGAGGAAATCTGTATTGGTTGCAGTCTCCATGTCACTGTTCTCCTCCCGTCATCTGTTCAACGCCCCCCACTGTGAGGCCCATTCAGGGCTCCGCACCCACAGGGCCCGATGCTCTCAACTGTCCCGTCCACAGCGCCCACTGCCGCCTAGGGCTGCCCTGCCAGGAACGCGGTGATTAAACACACAGGCTATGGGACGGGAATGCCTTCTTGACGGTCAGCTTGTGGATGAGGGACTGGGGTGAGGTGGTGGGTGCAACCCTTTAAACCAGTGGTTCTCAACCTTCCTAATGCCTCGACCCTTTAATACAATTCCTCATGTTGTGGTGACCCCCAACCATAAAATTATTTTCGTTGCTACTTCATCACTGTAATGTTGCTACTGTTATGAATCATAATGTAAATATCTGATGTGTAGGATGGTCTTAGGCAACCCCTGTGAAAGGGTTGTTCGACCCCCAAAGGGGTCGCGACCCACAGGTTGAGAACCGCTGCTTTAAACCATCCCACTGTACCGACTCTTTTAAATAAAGCTGGACGTGCAGCCCAGACAGCCTGGGAGACCCAGACCACCAGCTCGGCGGCCCCGTTCGGGCTGGGTTCCTGCTGCTGGGGAAGTGGTGCCTGTTCCTCTCTCCAACCTCCTGTCCTCTTCACTGGCCAGTGACTGTCAGTGAGTCCCTGGGGTCTCAGGGAGAGATCTCGGAGAAGAGTTAGAGCAACGCTGAGCCCCTGGAGGTCCTCCCCACCAGGAGGGAGAACGGCTCTGGAGGGAAGGAAAGAGTGACTTCTGGGGCCCAGCAGGGCTCAGGCCCGTGTAGAGAAGCAAGGAGTCCTGCTGTCTGGCTGCTGGTGTAAGGGTCCCAGGTCTCAGGGATGCAATGCCAGTGGACCCTTCTGACCCTCCCCTGTGGACTCAGGACCAGGGACATGCAGAGGAAAGTGACTGAGAGATCAAGGAAGAAGGAAAAAAAGGATCCAAGGCTCTGCCAAGGGGCCTCGAGCCGCTTCCTGCCCTGTCCCTGGCTCCATGCCCTTCCCGGACCACAGAAATGCTGGGGTTGCCTGCTCAGCGCAATCATTTCACCACCAGCACAGTAGGGCTCACAGGCATCATGTGTCATATCCACTGTTCCTAGGCTGCCCCCCTACTCCAGGGGCCCCCAGGCCCAGAATTCTGGGTTAAAAAAGCAAGAGATTTGGGCTTTTGAGTTCCCTTTTGTTATGAACCCACGGGTAAGCACGGGGATCTCAGGGCAGCTTTTTATCTTATTTTATTACAACACAGACCTGTGAGGACAGTGACAGAGAGGCCAGCCCTGTCACCGAAGCCGGAGACAGCTTCTTGGATGCATTAACACTGGAGCTTAATCTTGAAGAACAAGAAGAGTTACGTAGACGAAGCGGATGGGGGAGGGTGCTCCGGTAGCAGGAAGAGCGTTCGCAAAGCGTGGAGGTTAGAAGTTAGTGCAGTGATGGCGAACCTTTTGAGCTCGGCGTGTCAGCATTTTGAAAAACCCTAACTTAACTCTGGTGCCGTGTCACATATAGAAATTTTTTGATATTTGCAGCCATAGTAAAACAAAGACTTATATTTTTGATATTTATTTTATATATTTAAATGCCATTTAACAAAGAAAAATCAACCAAAAAAATGAGTTGGCGTGTCACTTCTGACACGCGTGTCATAGGTTCGCCATCACTGAGTTAGTGTGTGAAAATCGACCGCCAGGAGGGGCACAGACAATGGATGGGGAGAGTGGGAAGTGAGGAAGAAGAAATGAAAGGTCACACACAGTCACTCTCCCGAGGACCCTGCTCCTACGTGACAAGCAACAACCTGATCACTGCCCCTCCCCATTGGCCAGCACCGGGAACCTGCCCTTGGCCCGCCAGAGCCTGGGTGCTGAACGTTCCTAGCAGCCTGCGTGCCGCCAGGCTGCAGCGTCCTCACTAAGCTTCTGCGGGTTCCTTTGCTTGCAGAATCCTCCTAACGGACATGCCCGGGAGCCAGGCTCTGTTGAGAGAAGTCAGTGACTTACCTGGCCAGACACATGATCATCCCACAGGTGAGCTCCGCGGCACTGAGACTGTTCCCGTTGGGAGTGCTAAGGAGCAAAGGAGAGAGGGGACATCAGCAGGCCCAGGCCCGGTGTGCTCACCCCCATCCCAGCAGGAGGCCCTGAGGGCACACGGTGCTCGCTCTCTGCTCCATGAGCTTGTCCCACGCCACCGCCCCTGGCTTCACATCCCAGGGCTGGGGCCTGCAGCAGAGAAACACACCTGGCCTCTCCGACCAAACTCCCTTCTCCCGAGAGAGAAGCGTCTCCCTGGCCTGGCTCAGCCCTTTGTCTGATTCCTCCCATTTCTGAATCCACCTGCCCGAGGAGGCACAAATCCCAAGGCTCATGCCATCAACCCGACCGAGGCTGTGCCTGTGATGGGTGACACATCCATCAGATGCAGAGGTCAGCCCATTGCCCACTGGCCTTCACCAAGGTGCCCAGCTTGGCTTTTATTCGTAACAAAGTGATACATATATATATATATTAGAGACCCCGTATACAAAATTCGTGCATGGGGGAGGGAGGGGTGTCCCTCAGCCCAGCCTGCCCCTTCTCGCAATCCAGGACCCCTCTGGCAGGGTCCCTAGGCCTGGCCGGTGATCAGGGCCTATCCGGGCTTCCCCCACCCCGCCCCGCTGCCACTGCTTGTCATCTGTGTGGTGCTGCCCCCCATCCCCCATCACCGGTTGCCTCCCTCTGCGGGCAACAGGCGTGGGGTGTGATCGCTTGGCTGGCCTGGGCCTCCCTCTGTGGGGCAATCATGGGGTGATGGCGGGACCCCTGACCAATCGAATCGCATCCACCTTGGCTGGCCTGGCGCCAGTGCGTGTCATAGCATGGTTGTCCGGAAGGTCGTCAGGACGTCCTTCTGCTGTTCGGTAGTTCGATCAATTTGCATATTACGCTTTTATTATGATAGTTTTTTTTTTACTTTGTCACACCACTGATTGAAGCAAAACAACACAACATGCTGCCACTTCACCCAAAAGCAGTGTTTTTACTTTGCCCTTTTTTGACGGCTCAGTGGGTCATTAGCAAAAGGCCCAACGAGTGCTTTTTAAAAGGGGTACAAAATGACATTTTTATCTCCACCGGGGTGGCTTCTCCTCCTACCCCTCAACAAGTCCTCAGCTGAGAAAGCTTCCTCACACCTTCACCCTCACAGCAGTGCTGACTGTGCCCATCTTTCAGAAAGGAGAAGGGAGATGGCAACCCATTAAACCATTTTTTTTTCCCTCAAAGGCTTTTTTGTTTGCCCTTTAAACAAGTATATTCACCCTCCTTCTTCCCCTACTGGATCTTTGCATCTCTGGAAATGAAGGCTAGAAGGAGAAAAAATGTTAAGAGATTCTACGTTTTTAAAAAGGTCAAGATAAAAGGAACCTCAGAAATCTTGGCAGCTGCTCTTGGTCGGGGGATGCCCCACACGGAAGGCAGAACGACAGTGGCCAAAAAGAAGTGGAAGTCGGTGGACTGGACCAGTTCCAGGCTCCAACCTCTGCTATGAAAAGTGGGAAGTACAGCAGCCTCTGGAAGCGACCACACGAGGCCAGTGGAACCTGGTCACCCTCGCCAACTGCCCAGCCAAGGCGATCTGAAATAGAGCACGAGGCTGTGCGGCCAAGGCTGGGCCCATCGCCGCGGTGGCAATGACCCCGAGCTGGGCTCCGCGTGTGGAAGATACTGGAGTAGGCAGACTGGCAGGCGATACAGGTGATTCCGGTATGGTTAGCAGCCTGCCAGAGCAGACAGGTGAAAAGTAAATCGTGCAAAATTGTTCTTTAATAAAACTGGCAGAGCTTGTTTAAGAAAAATAAAGGATTCTCGGAGCCTGTGTTTGCACAAGACCCTGGCTCCCTGGCCCCCAGGGAACAGGCTGGATGGGGACGCTGGGAGAGGGGCTGGGGCCGGAGGCTGTTGCTTCTGGGCCCAGGGCAACCCTGTCAGATGGGTTACCTCTAACATTTCTACTGTTGGATATCGCCCACCCTAGTCAGATGACCAGTCAGTTCACCCCTACCCTATAGGGGAGAGTGGAGGGAAAGGACTTGAGGACACGAGGTTCCCAAAGGGAAAGGACTCCAAGGGACAGAGCAGTGGACCAAGGACAGTCTTGCCTCACCACATGCCAGGCGGGAGCCAGGGCTGAGTGTCCCCTTGCAGGAACATGCCCACATGACCTTACATGACCTTTCGCCTGGGTTTCTGCAAAACCAGCTCCAGTGGGGACCCTTTTCCTATTGGCCCTGGGGTGTGAGAGGAAAACAGGAGGTCCTGGCTGCAGAGGGGTACAGGGAAGTGAGGAAGACAAAGCCTGCAGTCACTCTGGTCGCTGAGGTGGTGCATTTGCCTATAGGTAAGAGCAGAGCTAACAATACTGGCTCCAGACAGCACAGTGGAGGGGGAAGGGCAGAGCTAGAGCCGAGAGGACAGATAAGTTCACTAACTTCCTTCTGACTCCCACACGGGGCTGCAGACCAGCAGACACCTGGGGGGTGGGTTTGTGAAGCACGGAGTTTACAAAGAGAAGCTCAATGGCAAACCGTGGGCCCCACGAAGCTGTGAGCACTGACCACCGCCTGGGCTCAGCCTCGACCACGCCTCCTCCTGGAAGTCCTTACCTCCAACCTGGCTTTCCCGAAGGTAGGTACCTCCCTCCCTCCTCGAGGTCCAGCCCCACAGCCTCCCCCGGCCTCCACGACTCACTTCATGACCAGGATGCCCTTCCTGGTGGCGGCCTCCAGATCCACGTTGTCCACGCCGGTGCCGGCCCTGCCCACCACCTGGAGCTTCTCTGCTGCGTTGATGACATCCGCGGTCACCTTGGTGGCCGAGCGCACGATAAGGCCTTCGCAGTCCTGAGGCACAAGAAGAAACATCTGGGTCCACGGAGCCGTTCTGGAAGACCTCCTAGAGCTTCCTTGCCCACAGGGGGCGCTCCCACGTGCCAGCTGACTGGATGTCCTCAAGGAAAAGGAGGCAATGGCATGGGGCACCATTTACGCATCCAAGAGGCTCCCCAAGTCAGGTCTGGGTTCAAATCCAAGCTCCATCCCTGGGGAGCTCTGAATCTGAGCTTCAGCCTCAACTGCGTGAAAGGAGGCAGGAGGACAGGCCGGTGCAGCACCTGGTGCGGTCGCTGGCCCTGCTCAGGTGAGACAGGCCAGTAAGCCAGGACAGGCGGAACAGGGAAACTGAGGCCTGTCGTTTTCAGCCATCTAGTAAATCCCACCTTCCCTAAACCAAGGGCACTTAAAAAAAATAAATGGTGTGCATTTCTCGCCCCCAGCCAGAGGGTCCATAGCTTAAATCACCCTACTCAGGGAGACAGCAGAAATCCAATTAGTGCCATTTGCCAACCACACCCAAGGACAGACAAATTAAGAGAATAAATCCCATTTTGGTACATCGGCATAAAGCTGAATATTCTATTGAGATCCTTCCCTAAGACCTCACCTAAATGCCCAGCCTTTAAAAACCCTCAAAAGGAAGATCCAGCCTTAGCTGGTTTAGCTCAGTGGATAGAGCATTGGCCTGCGGACTTAAGGGTCTCGGGTTCGATTCCAGTCAAGGGCACATGCCTGGGTTGCAGGCTCGATCCCCAGCAGGGGTTGTGCAGGAGGCAGCTGATCAATGATATTCTCTCATCACTGATGTTTCTATCTCTCTCTCCCTCTCTCTTCCTCTCTGAAATCAATAAAAATATATTTAAAAAACAAAAGCAAGATCCAGCTCACGCTCTCCCTCCCAGGAACTAAACTCTGGGGGGCCCCACGAGGCTTGCAACAGGGCAGCAATGGGCGGTGGCTGGCTGCCTTTTCCCTGGCTTCTTGGGGAGCCAAAGCGGACCGCCAGGCTCCTTTCCCCAGCCTTTCCTTGTTTCCCCGTCCCCCGCTTTAACAAACGTCCTCTGACATCCACCTGGGCCCGTGTTGTGAATGTTTTCCTGCACAAAGTCAAGGCCCCCTGTCTGATAACAAAGGGACATCACTGCCTCCACTGACCCTGAGAAGCCCCTCGGCTGGCACAGGGAAGGCACTCCACAAATAAACGGTGGTCGGCTGAATGAGTAAATGAAGTGACTGAGTGAAAGACAAAACCGCTGAGAGGAAAGCATCTCCTAAAATCAGAGGGGAAAGGAGAGAACAATGAAACGGGTCCAAAATTGCTCAGAAACCCAGGCAACATTAGACTAAAATCATACACATGTGAAAACCGAGACCTTCTAGAGCAGTGGTTCTCAGCCTTCCTAATGCCGCGACCCTTTAATACAGTTCCTCATGTTGTGGTGACCCCCCATTTCATTGTTACAAATTGAACATAATTAAAGCATAGTGATCAATCACAAAAACAATCTGTAATTATATACGTGTTTTCTGATGGTCTTAGGCGACCCCTGTGAAAGGGTCGTTCAACCCCCCAAAAGGGTCGTGACCCACAGGTTGAGAACCGCTGTTCTAGAGTCATCCTAGCCACTTGGCTAAGCTAGACCCCGAGGTGGTCTTCATAGCTCATCCAGACTCTTGGGGTATCTTCTCACAACGAGGATATTGTTGCCCAAACACCCAATGAGCATCCCCAAGCAGCAGAGCAGGTGAACAAGCACCCGGCCCACCCCCACTGGCTGCCCAGGTGGGTGAGGAAGCAGCAGGCGTGGAGTCGTCCGGAGGCTGGGTCCCAGCCTGGGTTGGTCATGTCGCCCCAGCCCTGGTCTCCGTCTGGATGAGAGGGTTTGAACAGACGGCCCTCGGGTCCCCTCCCGCATCTGCTCAGACTCCCATGAGTGGGAGTCTCTGCATTTTCCTCAGCGGAGCTCGCGGCTGGATCCCGCGAGAATTTTCTTTCTTCCCTTCCCACCACCTCGATTCTGGAGAAAGAAAGGCCAGTGGGCACCTGGCTCCAAGGGCGAGGGCCCCACCGTAATACTGTGCACAAGCCCAGAGCCCAGGAACAAGTCAGGACAAGGTGCACAGAGAGAGCGCAGAGCCCCACGTTCCTCCACGGCCGGGGGTGGGGGGAGGGGAGGGGAGTTCAAGTTTACACGCAGCCAAGTCTCTAGATCTGGAGGCTTCACCGATGTTTCAGGAGACTTTTCTCCACTTGACGGCAGAGAGTTTGATGCAAGACCCCTCATGGGCACCCCAAGCCCTTTTACTTATCTGTGACTTTATTATCTGTGGTTCTGAAATAAAACCTCAAAATGTGACATTCAAAGAAGCATTTACAAAGAAGCATTAGTCTCACCCCATTTCACAGATGAGAAACTGAAGCCCCCCCCACCCCCCCAAAATGAAAGCTGCCCATGTCCCCTCCTCCTCATCCCCGCCTCATTTCTTCCATTTCTTCTTCCCATCTCCGGGGTGCCTGGTATATATATATATATATATATATCTGGAATTATGCTACACCTGTCAACACAAGTCACAGCCCCACCCAAGGAGCTCACAGCAACAACACACCAGAACTCACCACTGCACGTGTATGGTGTGACCTCGGCGTGCACAAGGCATGGAAAGGTTAAGGAAACAGACAGGAGCCACCCTGTCTGGGCTGCCGGCCATCACCTGGTACTCTGAATACCTCCCGAGTTGAACATCAGCCAATGCCTGGCCAGAAAGGGGACACTGTGTCTGTCCCACATCCAAGTCCACTGCACTTTGCCTCCAAGGAAAAGGATCCCCCTGCCTGGCCACACACCACCCACTCTTCCAGGCAGACAACTTCCCTTCCATGAAACCTTTGCCAACAACCCTGGATTCCATCACGGAACCTCCCCCGTTTTATCATGTGCTTCACATTTAAAGGTCCTCTCTCTGACCTGCAGTTTGCTTTTCTCACCCGTTCCTAAAGCAAAGATTATTTTAATAGCTGATACTCAATAAAAGACGCCGCTGAATAAATGAATCCAGTGACGAAACCTACCCTCACCATTCTCCCCACACCCGCCCTCCTTCCCCAAATATTTGATCGGGTCACATGACTGAAAATCCAGCATCAGAAATCCCTTCTCTTGGGTGTGATAAGAGGCTTAAGGTTTGCTTGTGTGAGCACTGAAGAGTTTTCTGAAAAGGGAGAACAAGTTGGGAGGCCGTCAGGAGAAAGAAAGGCTCAGAAATTGCCAAGTCAATCAACACAGCCAAATAGGCACTAGACCAGTGATGGCGAACCTTTTGAGCTCGGCGTGTCAGCATTTTGAAAAACCCTAACTTAACTCTGGTGCCGTGTCACATATAGAAATTTTTTGATATTTGCAACCATAGTAAAACAAAGACTTATATTTTTGATATTTATTTCATATATTTAAATGCCATTTAACAAAGAAAAATCAACCAAAAAGTTGAGTTCGAGTGTCATAGGTTCGCCATCACTGCACTAGACAAACAGACCCATGTGTGGGGATTTACAAAATAATAAAGGCAGGTTTCAAACTGCTGGGGAAGGAAGATCTATGCAATAAATGGCAGGAGGAAAATGTAAGGGACAAAACATTGAATTCCTTCTTTATCTTTCTTACAATTATGAGCAAAAGGTATATGTATTACCAGCCTGGGGGCTAATGGATTCTGACCAGCACTGCTATTTAATGAAGCAAGAAAATATGTAAATGCATCACATATGGTACAGGTGCTATTTCATGCAACTTTAGTAAGTGTGTGTCTACATGTGTAGATGTGTATACTGAGTTGTGATGTAAAATGACTTTCTGATTGTGGGTCATGGTCAACATTAAAAAGCCACTGATCCGTGGTAAGATTTAAATGTTCCTGCATATTAGATTTAAGAAGTGACACCAGCCCGGCCAGCATAGCTCAGTGGTCGAGCGTCCGTCCACCTTTGAACCAGGAGGTCGAGAGTCAATTCACAGTCGGGGCATATGACTGGGTTGCAGGCTCAATCCCCAGTGTGGGGCGTGCAGGAGGCAGTCGATCAATGATTCTCTCATCATTGATGTTTCTATTTCTCTCTCCCTCTTCCTTCCTGTCTGAAATCAATAAAAACATATTTAAACAACAAAAAGGAAGTGGCACCTGCTGAGAGAGGAGGGTACACAGTCTTGAGTTTTGTGAGTTCCAAAAAAAAGATGCTTTGTTATTCCAGGCTGGTTTTCTAAACATTTTTTTTACTAAGACCCATAGTTAAGAAACACATGATTGAGCTGTGATTTTAAACTCACATATCCCACACACACCCACAACTACACACATAACTGAAACAAATTTCCCGACACAGTATTAGCCTTACTATCTGCATAGTTCTTATTTCGTGTGTTTTTCAAATGCTAATCATGACCCATTAAAGCGACGTCCTCACCCAGCAATGGACTAGCTGTGACTTGCTCCAAGCCTGCAAAGGACGGTTCTGGGGGAGTACGCGAGGGCACGCTGTGCTGCCCAGGATGCGAAGGAGTGGGAACAGAGGCCTGGCCTGGCTCAGGCGATGGGCTGGAGTTCCTTCCACGCTGCAAAGATGGAAACGGGGGAGGCAGGGACCCTAACTCAGATGCCTCTCCACGCAGAATAAAAGTGCCCAGAGCGGAGAGGAGAGGGCACCGTGCAGTCGGCTGCCAAGAGGACTCCCCAGCACTCCCAGCTGAACGCTTCACAGAAGCAGGCAGGAAGGCCGGCGCTCCCAGC